CTTTGATTTTCAAATTTGTACTTGTGTGATTAAAAGCTCTTTAATTTCCAGCTCCGTTGCATGGTTTTGCATTCTGGTTTGATGTGGAGTTTTGTGGGCCTGCTACCGCCATGCATGGTCTAGTGCCCTCAAATTCTGATGATAATCAAGTGAATGATGGAAGCCAGAGGAAGAAACGTGCAAATCCAAATGAAGCACTTGTACTGTCCACGGCACCTGAGGACCCTCCAACCCATTGGCAGCAGGTATGTCATCGTATTATTGTAACTCAATATTTTAAATGTTTCTGTATTCCTTTTCTACATTGGTGCATGACTTAAGGTTTTGGTTTCTCCATTTATGATTTATTTTTTGGATGGAAAAGAAGATATATGAAACTAAAGACTATTTACAAGAAAAAAATGATCGAAAAATCTTTTAGCCACATGTTTGCATGTTTCGGGAATGGGGTGAAATGTGTGGTAACGTCATGGAGATATTTGTTCGTCCAAAACTTACGTAGATTGTTGTTATTATTTAGCCTTAATCTTCTAGTTAAGTTGCTTTGGTCAGAATTAATCTTGTTTATTTTTGCAGACATTAATCTATTTCTATGACCCATTAGAGGTCGAACAAGACCAAATAATCGAAGGCTCTGTTACTTTGTCGCAAAGCAGAGAAAACCGTCGGTTCATGAATATTCGCCTCGAATACGTGTGAGTTCTATTGTAGCAAAGATTTCTCCAGCCACTGCTTTGATATGCGCATCTCATTTTGGCTTTGATATTTGATCATGCAGTTCAGGTGGGCGTTCCTTTGTAAAAGAGTCGGTGATGAGGTGATATCTATTCTTTGCTTTGTTTCTTGATGTGTAGTGTCTGTGAGCCTTCTTAAGGCTTAACCTTCCTGAAACAATTTTCCAATCAACTCTAGGAATTACTACTCAAGACTAACATTTTTAGAATTTGAAGTGTCTGGAAGCTGCTGGTTTGGTTGACCTAAGAGACAGTTGACTCTTGACCGTGTTTTTGCTTTGCGATTGCTTGATTCGATTTCTTCGTCACATTGTCTTCTCTTCGGGAAAGATGTAGGCTAAGATTGATACAAGACTCCATGAAGAATTCTTTTATTGAAATGTAATACTACATTGATATTACAATTGTAGGACTTATCCCCTTCAAATTCTCAAGGACGAGTATTTTTCCATCATGTAAGATTATAGAACTCCCATCATTTATTTTTTAAATGCCCAAGTTCAATCTAGAAGTATGATCATTCTCTCTCTCTATCTTTCTCTCACATCTCTTATTGATTCTGAAACATACATCCTCTTGTGTCCTGATATTGTAGTTCTCCACTTTTGACTATATCTCAATGATCTGTTCTGTGATAGCTGAAAATTGATGAGATATTAAGTTGGTTAACCTTTTTCTGTTTTTGATATCTTCCATATCCAATATTGCATACACATCCTCTTGTTCTAGGAGTTCAACGTGTTCTATTTCAGCTGGAGAAGAGAGGAAAAGCTAAGTATGACTCTATTTTTATCTTCTCTTCTCTTCTGGCTTGTTCCCCTGCTGATTGTGCCAATGTAGTTGTCGTGTTTATGTTCGAAATATCTCTCGATCAACAAAGTAGTGAATGAGCTTTAGAATTCTTGTGAGATTCCACATCAGTTGGAGAGGGGAACGAAACATTCTTTATAAGGGTGTGGAAACCTTTCCCTAATTGATGCGTTTTAAAACCTTAAGGGGAAGCCTAAAGAGGACAATATCTACTAGCGGTGGACTTGAGCTATTACAAATGGTATCAGAGCCAGACACTGAGTGGTGTGCCAGCAATGATGCTGGCCCCCAAGGGGGTGGATTGCAAGATCCCACATCAGTTGGAGAGGGGAACGAAACATTCATTATAAGGGTGTGGAAACCTTTCTCTAGTGGACGTGTTTTAAAACCTTGAGGGGAAGCTCATAAGAGAAAGTCCAAAGAGGACAATATCTGCTAGCGGTGGGGGCTTGGGCAGTTACGAACTTAAAAATTTGGACCATTTCTATGCATGTCATCCTTGCATAGGGGCCATGCTAATCTTCTCTGTATCGTTTCAATTTAATCGGATGTCCTTGGAGAGCGGAACGAAGCATTCTTTATAATAGTGTGGAAACTTTTCTCTATTGGACGTTTTAAAACCTTTGAGGAAAGCCTAAAGAAAGCAATATCTGCTAGCATTAGGTCAAATGTGGTTATAATGGTTCAATTATTGAGCTCGCTCGTGCATGTCTTCGGTTCCTATACTTAATTTTATAATCTGTTATGGTTATGCCATATTTTTTTGTCTCAAATGGACACAATAGCAAGTGGATTGGTGGGATGAACGTAGCCATACCAAAAACTTTGCTCTTCCACTAAACTCCCTAGTTTAGAACTTTTTTCCAGAACTCTCTCTTTTCAGGGACAGTTGAGGGCCTGCCTGCTTGCCTGTGCAATGCCTTTACGTTTGGAAGTGGATAACATCCAACACTTTTGATTATTATTTAGCTAATCACTGATGCATTTGTTCACTGATAAAGGAATCCTATTTGCTGATGAACACACTTAATTGTCTTTTGTTGCATTTTGGTTAAAGATTTAATCCCTATATGTTTAATGTTCTTGCAGTTCTTCCTAAATCTCTAGAATTGAAAATTTGTGCATGAAGTATGAGAAGTATGAGAGGCCAAAATATTGTCCGAGTGATTAACGTAAAACATGCTAACGTAGGTCTATTTTTGTAACAGTTCAAGCCTATAACTAGTTGATATTGTCATTTTTAGGCTTAGTCTTTAAAACGTGTCTGCTAGAGAGGGGTTTTCACCCCCTTATAAAAAAATGTTTCGTTTTTTCTCTAACCGATGTGGGATCTCACAATCCACCTCCCTTCGAGGCCTAGCGTTCTCGTTGGCACTCGTTCCTCTCTTCAATCAATTGGGGATCTCACAATCCACCATCCCCCTTCTTCAGGGCTTGGCGTTCTCGTTGGCACACTGTCTGGTGTCCATTCTGTTTCAGAGCTCAATGTTCTCACTGGCACACTGTATGATGTTTGGCTCTGATACTATTTGTAATAACTCAAACTCACCGCTAACAAATATTGTCGTCTTTGGACTTTCCCTTTTGGGATTCTTCTCAATGTTTTAAAACGCGTCTGTTAGGAGAAGATTTCTACATAAAGAAGAATGCATTGTTCTTCTCTTCAATCAATGTGAGATTTCACAATCTTTTTGCTATAAGCACGGAAGTTTTGAATCACTCTACCGTGACCTTATAGCTTTAGAAGATGTCTTTTTCTTATGGGTTGCGTTTAAAATAATTGGTCGAAGAAAAGAAGATTACATTTGCTTTGGTTAAGTGTTTCTTTGATTGAAGGTATTTGCTGTAACTACTACTTTAGATTGTAATTAAATAGGTTTATGAGGCAAACTTTTCTCATGGGGTCTTTATTGAAAAAGCCTAATGCTATTTTTTAATGCATTCATGCTTGTATACCACATTTTCTTTTTCTACTTTCAAACCTACACTTGAAGTGTATTTATGTGTATGGACAAACAAAGATTTGGCTTCACTTTCTCGGATCGGTGGTGGAAACGTTATCCGTTCTAAAATAGTTTTATCTTGTATTTAACTGTAGGCAAAGGGATGAAATTCTTATAGGCTCTATATGATAATACAATTCTAATCTTCAGCCCAACGATCTAAGATTTTATCGAAAGAAGAATTCTGTAATTAAAGAAATTAATATCTCCTTATACAATATTTGGATCAATGTTAGAATTAGATTACCCCTAACAAATCAAAGATCTAGGAGCAGATTTGGTGATTAAGACTTTGATTGAATGGCTCGGAAGCAATGTATCACAAGAATTGTTTGAATCTGAAATAGCAAAGATGATATTCAAACTTCAAAGAGAAAAAATCTCAACTTGAGTTCAATTTCATTAATTTATAAACTAGCCATCTTAATTTTATATATCATTTTGTGGGTATTTATAGTCTTAAAATAATAAATAAAGTTTTGTCAGGTCGGAACAAGTTGATAGATCCCCTTTTTTACGTCCCTATGTCCCTCCTGTGTGGCGACATGGGGTCGAAAAAAGGAAAGAGAGGGATGGGGTTCCTCTCACTTTTGGCAAAGTAAGCCCCAATGAGAGGCTCGTACGATGGGTTATTAGTTCAATAGTAGAGCGCGTCCCTGATAATTGCGTCGTTTCGTTGTGCCTAGGTTGTGAGGGCTCTTAGCCACATAGATAGTTCAATTTACTCATCAACACCTGACCCTGAGATGTGAAAAAATTATCAATGATAACTTCGTGCTTCACTTCAACTTTGCAAATATGAACTTTCAAACCTCCAAATAGTGATTAAAAAGTATTAAAAATGAAATTTAAATAGTTGTTGATTTAGAAGCAAGAGAAATAAGAATGATGAAAGAGTATTAATGATTGTGCACAAGACTAGAGTCTCATCATTTAAAGCCAATAAAGGAAAATGCATGAGATTCATTCATCCACCCATGCCTCCTTTGTGTATATCTTCACAAGAAACTTCCTACTCAACACAATAGACTAATTATTTAAAAAGAAATTAAATATCTACCGAAAATGTTACATTAATGTTAATAAGAATTACAAAAGTCAAATATCTTTCATTTTCATAATCATTTAGAAGTAAGATAGAGTTCGATTGTAACACTACTTTCGAGTTAGTCACGTGTTCAAGCAAAAAAATATCAACCTACATATCAATCCAAATTTTCTACACGGATTTCTTTATGGCTTTAGTAGGCCTAGTATTTCTGGCCATTGCAATGGGTGTAATCCAGCATGCATGCACCTTATGGTCAACCTAGACATTATACAAAACTTTCAAACACACACCCAAAAGGTCTACGTAAAAACAAACAAAGCCCATCATTCATCAGCCACAACCAGCAAAAAGGAACACATTTTTATATCTATACATTCTATATATATACACACACACACACACACCACCTTCAGCTTCAGCTTCTCCATTTCTCTGCACAGAGACACTCACAAACCATTAGAACTCTAATCATACTCCAAACCCCACAAACTCTCTCTTTTTCCCTTCCATATTTCCCACACTTTCAAGCCATCATTTCTCATTCTCAAGCTCTCAACTACTAAAAAACCATGCTACCCTTCCTCCTCCTTCTTCTTCTTCCTCCTCTTTTAACCAGAGCCGCCATCGACACGGTGGCCACCGGCCTTGCGGCTAATTACCCGGCCACCCAACTCCTACATGTCAAAGATACAATCAAAGAAACAGAAATCAAGCCATCTAGATTACCACAGGACCTTGAACTCTATGAAAACTACCCTCCAATTGACAACAGCACTCAGAATCAATGGAAGCTTGAGCTCTTCCATAGAGATAAGCTGCCCCTCAACTTCGACCCTGACCATTGTCGCCGTTTCAAGGAGCGTATCGGAAGAGACGTCGAAAGAGTCTCTTCTCTGCTCCGCCGGCTTTCCAATGGCAGTGACGAGCAGGTGATTTGGGGGGG